GGAGGCCTGTCAAGAGCAGAGAGTGACAGTTGCCAAGAGAATACAAGCGCCATGCCAGGCAAGGGAGCAGCTAGCTGCTCTCCATTAACTGCCAAACTCTTCTGACTTCTACCCCACCTCTCCAAGGGAGGAATTAAAGGGATGTAAGCTGATTCGGACTCTGGAGCTGGCAGCGCGAGCTGCTGGCTTCTCGCTGTTTGAGGAGCTGTTCCCCATCCCCACCCCACCCCCATTGCCTACTGTCCCTTCATTGCCATCATTTTATTTCTATTTATAGACCAAATGTTTATTCAGCAATTTCCATGTGCCAGGCACTGTGCTAAGCATTGGGAATGGCTAGCATAAGCAAGTAAGACAGTCCCTGCTTTCAAGGAGTTCTCATTCTAATGGTAGAAGACAACAGATAAAGGGGAGCTAGAAAGGAAAAATTCTAAGATGTAGGGGATGTCCTAGAAGTAATATGGAGGACTGGTTTCAGGGAAGATAAGGTCACCTCTCAGAGCCCAGTGTCCCAGAGTTGGAGTCCAAGTTTCTGCTGGGGGTGAAATTAAGATTATACTTTGATATCCTTCCTCAGGTCTACCTAGACTTTCTCTCAGACTGCAACATTATGTTGGGCAGAGACCTGATGGAGGCATCCCTTCCCGATGGCACCGATGCGTATGCCACTACACTGATAGCATGATGTTGACTGGGCCAGAGGAGGCCATGGTGGCAGATAACCTAGCTCAGATGGTGGCCTGTAAAGAGGGACAAAGAATGAGAAATCAACTCTGCTCATTCAAATTTTGGGGGAATACAGTGGGTTGAAAGAAAAATCTGGAGGATTCCAGGTACATAATCTACTGACATTTGTTTCCCCAGTCTAAGATGGAAGCCCAGAGACTTATTAGACTCTTCAGGTATTGGAAAACCCACATTTCCCACATGGGTATCCTGATGGCCCCCATTTGCTGAGTCACTTGCAAGTCTATTTCTTTCAAGTGAGGCCCCCTGAATAACAAAGCATGCTGTCCAGCAGTCTCATCCCTCAGGCCCTATGACCTTATGTTTCTAGAAGTCTCTGTCCATAGCAAACAGGATGGTTGGAGAGCAACTGTTAGGCTTTCTGGGGTCTACTCTAGAACATCTGCTCACTATACTGCCCTTGAAAAGCAGTTGCTTGTCTGGTGTTGGGCCCTAGTTTTCACTGACCAAATGATTCAGGCTCATACAATCTCTCTTTGTCCAGAATTGCCCATTTTGGGTTTGGTGATGCGAGATGAACAAGAACAAGAAGGGTTGAGCATAGGTGGCTTCTGTTGCTAAATGGAAAGGGTACATTAAAAATCATAATTATCTGGGTTCCTCTGGTGTTAGCACCCTTCACAAACAGGTGTTATGCCATAGACCAGACCCTAGAACCCTGCCTCTTCTACTGGCTCAATGGCACCCACCTAGAAGGACCTGGCTCCTGAGAAACACTATTTTTTCTGGTGATGACTCCATTCACTATGAGAGAGAAGCATACACAAATGGACTTCAGTGGCCATTAATCTGGAATGGCAATGTGGGATACCCTAGGGAATTAGGGTTCTGGTAAGTCTGGGCTACATGGCTGCGTCAGAGAAGATCTGTAATTCCTGGGAGGTAACCATGGGTTTGGCCAACTGGTCTGGCGGCTAAAGAGCACCAAAGTAGATAATCAAAAGCTCTCCTCTTTGGGATCAGGACCAATGGAAGAATTTTACTAATGTCTCCTACTGCAGTTATTTATGAGGCCTGTCAGCACCTGTCAGACATCATATGCTAAACTACTAGGTTGGCACTATTACAAGAACAGCAGAGGTTGAGGAATGAGTTGTGCCAATTTGGACCTTAGAGAGGTGGTGCCATGTTATGCTAGGTACAAGACTATATGTATCCCCCCCAAAGACAAGGTATTCCTGCCCAGTTGGACCCTTGTACCAGTCAAAGCACTCATCTCACCCAAGTGGTCCTTAACCTGTCCCTAGCTGGGCAAAATGGTACTCTCTCATCTCAGGGCAAGAGGTTTGCCCCAGCTAAACAACAGTTGCCATCATTATACATCTCACTTCCCAAGTCGTTTCTAACCTTCCAGTGATAAATCCGTACCATCCTGGAAAGGGGACGGGCTTTCTGGTTCAGTGGTTTCTAACATCCCAGTATCCAGGGACTAACTGATAACAGTAGACTGTTTTTGGACACAGTTCTAGTTAACCCTCGTCGGCCCTTATTCCTTCCCCAGCACAATTACCTTGGCCTCAGGAGTCTTGTCTCCTCCAAGGGCTGCTGCAGCTCAGGTACCCCTCAACTGGCAGGCTTCCTCTCCTCTGGGATGTGTTCAGACAACTCCTTCCCAGATAGGGTTTGGGGGATGAAAGGGTGCTATTACTGGAAAGTGTCTTGATTTCTAATAGCATGGGAGAGTCAAAACTGTTATGTACCTATGGTGGTGTTCAGTCATTTCCAATTCTTTTTGACCCCATTTGGGGTTTTCTTGGCAAAGATAACGTAGTGCTTTGCCATTTCCTTCTCCATTTCATTTTACAGATGAGGAAACAGAGGCAAACAAAGGTTAAGTGACTCACCCAGAGTCACACAGCTAAGAAGCGTCTGAGGCCAGATCTGAACTCTGGTTTTTCAGATTTCAGGCCCACCTGTCTATCCACTGTGCCACCTATTTGCCCTCATAACTGTTGCAGGTGTGTATTTGCTTGGAAGAAGGGGGATTCCTTAGCTGACTTGGTGCCAGTTTTGAGTCACTGGATAGGGGTTGGTTCTTATTTACCCCTGTGGAAAAAAGGGGGCAGCTCCTCCAAAGAGGCTGCTAAGGGGGCAAGATGTTGTGCTGTCCACCCAATACTGAGTGGTGTACAGGAAGAGCCTCAGTATCAGCTTAGTTCCTGAAATACTTTACAAGCAAGAGGTTTATGAATCTCTTAGTCACTCTGCTACAGATGACCCTGATGCATAATGAATTGTCAGCTGTGCCAAAAGTGTCTGTGCTGTGGCCTTGATATTCCCTATCCATTTCCTAAAGCTGATAAAACATGCAAGTAGCCCTAGCCATTTGGTGCCACACAAGGATCTCCTGGGATCCTTGTTTTGCTTAAAAAGCAAAACAAAAGACCCTTCATTGCCTCAGAACCACAAAATTTCAGAGTTGGAAGGAACCTCAGTTTCCGTTTAGTCCAACCCACACCTGAAAGAATTTAAAATTCTCTACCAGATGCAATTAAATCTGCTTAGAGACCATCAGGAAGGGGGAAAACCCACTGCTTTCGGGAGGCTCATTTCAGTCTTGGATATCTCTGTTAGTTTTTCTTTATGCCAAGCTTAAATTTTCCTCTTTGCAACCTTCACCTGTTCACTCATCTTTCTTCTGCCCTATGGGGCCAAGAAAATACCTTTTTAAAAAATTTATTTTTTTCTTTGGTGAGGCAATCAGGATTAAGTGACTTGCCCAAGGTCACACAGCTAAGTAAGTGACAAGTGTCTGAGACCGGATTTGAACTCAGGTCCTCCTGACTCCAAGGCCAGAGCTCTATCCACTGCACCACCTAGCTGCCCCTGAAAATACCCTTTTTACATGTAGTTCTTCAAATACCTAAAAACTGATGTAATGTCCATCTTCCTTTCAGGTTAAACATTGTAAGTTCCTCCTTCAACTGATTTGTCTATGGCATGATGTTGAGTTTCTTCACCATCCCAACTGACCTTCTCTGGACATTCTCCAGTTTATAAATGTCCTTCCTAAAAAGGTCCTCAGAATTGTCCACCATCCACCATCAGTGGTCCAAAAGGGCAGAGTACACCATGACTCTCAGTCCAGACAAGATCATGGCAGCCTTTCTGGCTGCCATACCAGGTTAGTCAACACTGTTTAACTCCTCTCCAGCTTGCAGTTCATTAAAGCCCCAAATCTTTTTCAGGTGAACTGCCACACATCACCCATATTTATACTTGTGAAGTTGATCTTTTTGAACCCAAGTGTAAGACTTTGTATCTACCCCATTATATTTCTTCTTATTTGACTCAACTAAATGGTTCTAGCATGTTGGTATCTTTTTGAGCCCTGAATTTTACCCAGTATACTTGATAGGACCCAAGTACTATAGAGTTGTGAGGGATCATAGATAGACATAGATGCATAAATCATCCTCATCCAGATTTTATAGGAAAAAAAAATAGGCATATGTATCAGTAATTAATATGGGGAAAGGGTAGTGGACATGGAGTCAAAAGTCCTGGATTCAAATCTCCCAACTAACTGTGTTTGTATGATCTTGAGCAAATCACTTTACCTGCTGGCCCTCAGTTACCTCATTTACAAAATGATTGCAGTTGCAGGTGGACTAGATGACCTCTGAGCTCAAATCTCTGATTCTATGACTTTTGCCATTTCCTTCTCCAGTTCATTTTATAGATGAGGAACTGAGGCAAACAGGGGAAGTGACTGAAACCAGATTTGAACTCAGGAAGATGAGTCTTTCTGATTTGAGGCCTGATATGCTATCCGCTGTGCCACCTAACTGCAGTTATCTAACCAGTAGCTAAAATGTGAATACTCTTCCAACAAGCGGTCACCAGACTGCTTGAAGAATTCCAGTGTCTTACTACTCCAGATGACTGCCTGTTTCATTTGGGGGGCATTTCTTCTTTATATAGAATCAAAATCTGTCTCTCTGGAACTTCCACTGGTCCTTGTTCTTCCCAAATATCACTGTATTGTGTGCAGAAATGAGGGTAAAATCAGAGCTCAGGCTAACAGACATTTTAGAAAGAACATGAAACATCTATCTGCCTTCATTCAGCAAAAATGTATCAGGAGCTTCCTTTGTAGAGAGAGCACTGTGCTAGGTACTAAGGAAATACATAAAGTTTTATTTAACATAAGATTAGTTCCTACCCTCATGGAGTTCATAGTGTTAACATCTTAGAGTTGGAAGAGATGTTAGAAGTCATTTAGGCCAACCCTCTCTTGAAATATGCAACTCTTCAGATCTCACATCAGTTTTATTCTTTTTTTGAAATGTGAACAACTTCAATTTGAACAGATTATGTAATTTTATTACTTTGGGTCACTCAAGTTTACATGCAAAGAGTATTTTTGATATTATACCAGAATTATAATAACCTCCACGATGAGCCCTGTTCAGGATTAAAGCTACCTAGTGCAGTCACAATTAAATATTTTCAATGCCAAACAAATCTTTTAAACCAACTGAAATTTATTATTTTAGGGTAAACATCAAGTTTCTTTCATCTTTGTCTTATAACCATAATGAATAGCAGGAATGGCTTTAGCAATTTCAAATGTTTCCCAAAGCTGAATTGATCACTTAAAACCTGCATATTATTTAGTTTAGATTACAGTGACCTGCTTAACCAAGTTAAAATGCAAAATTTCAAATGTATATAAGGAGTATTTACACAACGGGAAATTAGGTATTCATAAAACTCAGTTAAATCATCTTTATTTACAAAACCTTACATCGAAAATTATTTCATCAAGCTTCAATTTGAGGAACAGTAAAACCAGTGAAGTAACAGTAGTTGCTTAAACTAAGAATAAGAGATGATTAAAAAATACATCATAAATTACTTTTGGTGAAACAAAAAAAACTGTCAAGTTTCTTGCTGTGGCTCTCGATGATCAGCAGCAGGCTCATTTGAAGGCTGAATCAACCCTGAAGATTGCTCATTTCTACTTTCAGGATGTGGAGGTGGGGGGAAAAATCCATCTCTTGAGGGAAGATAGTGAGGAAAGGACCTGGGTGGATAGACACTTCTCACTGTTCAAAGAGATTGGTAGATCTATTTTAGCTTTAAATATCTCCACTTCATCATAAATGAAAAATGTCACTAGTTTACAGCATCCCAATACATATTTGTTACAATGACCATAAAGCTCTAAGTCTCTCTGACCCCAAAATAATTACACTCTGATGACATGGCTTGCACATGGCAGGAGCACTGTTTGTGTCATTGAATTGGATTGATTTAACAAATGATTATCTGAAACAATTAATCTTATACACAATCAAAAGCACATCCATAATTTTAGATCCAAATACAGTTCTTCCCTAAGCAAAAATGGAATATTTTGATACACAGACAAGTAAGGAATAGTTAGCCATAAACAGATAAAACTCAGTCAAAATTCGTTTTACAAAAAAATTTTTCCCCCCACATGGCTGTCAGTCACACAAGGCATCCAGTGTCTGTCATGTACTTTACTTAGATCAGAGACTCCCTTTCCTGGTCTTGCATCACCCCCAAACAATCTTCAGTTATCTTAACTACTGTTAAGAAACTGTCCAAACAAAACTGATCTTACTTAACACCTTGGAATTGTGATTTATACTGTGCAAATTTAGAGTCATGAATGGCAACGTCAGGGAGAATTTATGAAGGTCACTTCACAGTATTTTTTTTAAGGCAATCCAGGTTAAGTGACTTTCCCAGGGTCACACAGATAAGTGTGGCATATGAACTCAGTCAGGCCTTCCTGAGTTCAGGGCTGGTGCTCTATCCACTGCATCACCTAGCTGTCCCCAGTTTGTAGTACTTTTAAAAATATTCTTCCTCTAAGTCAGACCACTAAACATGCATGTCCCTCAAGGCTCTGTCCAGGGTTTTTTCCTCTTTCTTTTCTATACTATTTCACTTAGTGATCTCATCAGGTCCCATGTTTGTAACAATCATGTGTATGCTGATTATTCCCAGATTTCTATATCCACTGCTAATTTCTCTTGGATATCTCAAATCCATCATGTCCAAAATGGAAGTCATTATCCTTGTTCCAAACTTCCCTGATTCTGCTGAGGGTACCACCATCCTCCCAGTCACCCAGATTTGCAATGTAAGGAGCAGGTCTGATCATTACACACACACACACTCACTCACTCTCTCTCTCTCTCCCATGGCTCCCTATCACCTCCAGGATCAAAGACACAGTTTTCTGTTTGGCACTTAAAGTCCTTCCGAACCTGGCCCTAATTACTATTTTGTCCTTATCTCCCCACTCACCTGTGCTTTTGCACTGGCTGTCTCCCCATGCCTGTGATCCTGGCCTTTCTTGCTTCTCAGGCTCCCTTCTTCAGGAGGCCTGTCTTGGTCTCACTCCCTTCCTGCCCCTCAGTACATTCCCTCTGAGACTAGCTTTTACACACAGATTATTAGCAAGTTGTCTACCCCATGAGAATGTGAGTTCCTTGTTGTATCCCAGCATTTAGTACAGTGTCTGGCACATAAGTGCTTAATACATCTTCACTGACTGGCTGACAAAAGTACTGCAGTGAAATTTAGCAAATTATTTAGTCCAAAACACGTCCCAATAAACCTTCCAGTTTGGTCTTCAAAACAATCTGTTAATCATTCTCATTAAGCAATGCCTTTTGAATGTCAAAATACAAATTATATTTATTTTCTACGGTTGCCAAAGTAATCAGTGTCTCTCAGGTAAGCAATTCATTAAGACATTTTTAGTTTCAAACCAAAAGTATTACCGTAAAAGCAAACAATCAATTAATCGGTCTGGTATTGATTAAGTACTAGTATACAAATACAAAGAATGAAAAAAATCACTACCCTCAAGGAGTTTATATTCTAACAGGGAGCCAACAAGTAAATATGCAAGGATATATGGGGCAAATATAAAGAATAAAAACAAATAATCAAACTACAAAGTATACACAAATCCCAGCATTAAAGTGAAGTTAGCGTTCCAAATACAAGGGAAAAACGGTAACCAATTCTAACCGTATTATTTCATGAACTATGGAACCATGCCCCTGTACACAGTGGATTTTTAACAAATATGTGCTTAATATTGAAAAAATGGACATGTGCTTTTCTCTCCAAAACCAACATAAATTTTAAAAAGTTACATACTTGATAATTGAGGAGGTGGTGGGCCAGGGAAATTACTTGCTGGAAAGTAGCCCCTAGGAGGTCCATACATACTTCCTGGAGGAGGGAGTGTAACGTGAGGTCCTCTTCTCATTTTTGATCCTCTTGGATCCACTGGCAACAAAGGACCTCGGACTAAAGGAAGAGGCGGTGGAGCAAAGCCTGGGCCAGCTACTTCACTTTGAGATGCGAGAGATGGGTCAGGCATATTTAAATTCTGTTAATAACAACAAATGAAAAACAACTACAGTGACAGAAAAATCTTTTTCATAAAATCTTAGGTCTAGAAGGGACCACAAAGTTTGCCTATTCTTTTTCCTTGCTCTCTGTACATTCACTGGATGACTTCGTCGGTTTCTATGGGTTAAATTATCATCTCTATGCAGATAATGCCCAGGTCTGCCTATATCCTTAATCTTTTTCCTGAACTCCAGTAACAAATTACTTCCTGCCTATTGGATATTTTGAACTCCATGTTCCACCCTGTTCCCAACTTGCCAGTTTCTGTTGAGGACACCACCATCCTAACATTACAGGTTTGCAGTTTTGGCATTAACCCTGAACTCCTCATTTTCCCTCACCTCACATATCCAATCAATTTTCAAATCTTGTTTCTACCTTCACAACATCTCTCACACATGTTTAGTTCTCTCTCCTCACATAGCCCAAACCCACGTCCCTTTGATTAATTATTGCAATAATTAATAACTGCAATAAATTATTGCTGTTACTTCGTTTCCCCACTTTAAGTCTCATCCCTGTCCAATCCATCCTCTAGATAGCTGCCAAAGTGATTTTCCTAAAGTGAACATCTGCCAACGTCACTCTCCTAACTCTATAAACTCTACTACTTCCCTATTGATTCTAGAATCAACATTATTCCATCTTCATCTCATCCTTTAAAAATGTCTGCTTTGTGTAAGTTTTATAATGTATGTAATTATTAGTACAGTAGAAAATATATATAATTTATAAATGTACTCATATTTAGGATGATTGTTCAAAATTGTGCTTCCTGATAAGGGTGCATAATTTAAAAAAAATTGGGAAGCAAGGCTCTAAGACATCCTGGGTTGATGTCTATGTTATTCTAAAATATCTACTGAGAAGATTTCACAACTTTCCTTGATAACATACTGTGTAGCTCTTTCTTGGCTTTCATGCATACTTCATTAACTAAACAGAAAATAGCTTTAGTCAACAAAGTGATATATTACCTAAAAAGATAACATATAATTACAATGCAAGAGCACCAAGAAACAACTCTAAAAAGCATTCTTTTGTAGACAGTATACTGCAAGGTCTTTATGGCTGCATTTCCAACATGACCAAAACCAAGATTACCAATTTTTAAATAATAATAATATCATTAAACCATAATATATTTATAATATTTTAATATTGAATAAAAGTAAATGAAATAAATAATATATGTAATATACAGTATTAGACAATAATACATTTAAAACATGCATCCAAAGAAAAATAAAAAGGAAGTTTAAGTTCACTTAACTAATAACATAGCCCAAACCCCAAATCCATAAGTAGAAAATTCCTAAGACAGATCAGAAGATACCAACCCAGTTGTAATTGTAAGTAGGAGGTACCTTATGAATTCTTCCAAAAAGAAGTAGCTTTTAAGAGATTAATGGGATTCTGAATTTTAGGATAAAACTACGTTTTCAGTACTTACACCAAAATCATCTTTGGTATCATTCCTGCTGGATTCCATTTCTGAGGATGCCACCCCATCTAGACATAGTTAAACAATGATAAACACATTTTAGCTTTTAATCATTATTTTCATATTCCTCTCTGAAGGATAAATTCACAAAATGCAATTTTATCCTCCTACTACCCATGTCTGCATATGCCACCTTGGTAGTAGGACACATTTTGTAATGAAACAAAGAACTTTCAAGCACACTAGAGGGGAAAAAGCCCCCAAAACTCTAGCTGCGTGCAGTGGGTGTGGGTAGCAGTGATTCTTCCAGCTATCTCCGGGCAGTCCTGCTACTGAAGAGTCAAGGAAAGATCTATAATGCTGGTGGGCAGCTTGTCTTACCTCTCAAACCTTCCTTCCTCCTACACTGTGCACTACAGATTAGCAACTAAGAATGTGGGGATTCTTGCCAAAAAAAAAAATCTACTAATGGATATAATCCCTTATGACTCAGAGCTCTATTATTATTTCAAGGCTGAATTCAAATTTTGCTTTTAAAAGCATTATGAATCATCCAATTATAACTTGAAACTGTGGAAATTGTGCTGGTGGCGAAGTATGAAGTCGCTTTTACTTAAAATGATAGATAATCATGTAAGTCAGCACAGTGAGTCTACAGTTTAATAATCAGAGTTCTACTTGCAGGAATGAGATCATGCTAGTAAACTGTTCCTCCTTCTATTCCTATTTCCATGGTATTTTCTGATTTCTACAGAGACCTCACTGTGCCTACCCCAGCATATCTGTGGGCAAACCACAGAAGGAGATGACAACCAAAGAGCAAAGGCTGTCTCAGGAGGGAAGCGGGAAGGGCTGGCCCTGTGCAGGGGAGGGAGAGAGTGGATGGAATGACAAGGGCCAACAGCTGGTGAGTCACTGAGAAATCTGTATGCTCACAGGGGCAAACATACTGCCTCAATAGTTCAAGCAGCCTAGATACAGTTGTGACTAACACTGGACCCTTGCACTTACAAACACACTTCTCTCAGCACTCAAGATCGTTTTTCCCCCTACAACAAAAACAACAAATCTTCCAGACAAAATAAATATTCTGGTAGGAAAAAATAAACATACACTTAACTGAGGTAAATTTTGATTATCAAGGACTGCTCTGTTGTCTCAGGGCGGCCCAGGGTTCTCAAAGACTGTGCTGGCAGAGAGCAGTACCTGTCAGGTTCTGCCATGCTGGCAAGGCTTCAAGGCTGGTACCAGCAAGAGACTACATCTGCTTTCCAAGAACCAACCCAGCTAATTAAAGGAAAGATAAGCAAGCACTAGTGGGCTGACCATGGTAACCCTTGAAATGAAGAAATGTACAAAATGGTTTAAATGCAGCCTCCTTCTGTTGTAGAGATGGTGGCATTCTAAATCCAAGATCCTTGTCCAGTGACCAAGATGTGTATGTACTCCTGGAGGACCTGAACTGTACTAAACCTGACATTTCTGCTATAAATGAAACTAGAAGATAAAAGGAAGTTACAACTGGAAACAAAAATGGAAAGATTCTCATTGGAGAGTCTGCTAAAAAGTTGGCAGAACTGATTTTATTACGCATCCCAAACATCCAAACAAAAGAATGCAATTTCATAGGGCATTTGGTTGCCTTGTATTGTCATGCTCATGATAAGCATCTGCAAAAAGTACACCATGAAAATAACTGTAGGGGGAGCTAGGTGGCATAGTGGATACAGCACTGGCCTTGGAGTGAGGAGGACCTGAGTTCAAATCTGGCTTCAGACACTTGACACTTAACTAGCTGTGTGATTCTGGGCAAGTCACTTAACCCCACTGCCTAGCAAAAAAAAAAAAGAAAGAAAGAAAATAACTGTAGCTTATGCATCAACATCTATATGCAGGTAGTAAATAAATTTAAGAATCTGATGTGCTTTTCCAAATTAAATAGATACTTTGATACTTGGTAATTTCAATGCAAAGATGAGTATAGGAAAGGGTGGCAAAAATATGTTGAAAAATATGATTCAGGAATAAAAAAGAAAGGTCAAATACTTATGAATTGCAGAGAAGCCGCATGCTTATGTAACTTTCCCGAATTGCTCCCATATTTGCAGAATGGGTCCCCAAATGGTGGCTGCTCCCTTGAAGTTCAATAAGTGTGCTCTGTGGGTCCCTAACACTATTATTTCATGAACCCCCATCAGAGTGCTCCGGCAGACTCAATTAGCTCCTACCAAATGCATTTGCTAAGATGACATTAGTGAGAACAGTTGGTCAAAATATTTCCTCCATAAACCTGGAGTATATTCTCCCACAAATACACAAAGCATCCATGGGAAGAGTAGGCTCATATTTAAAGTACAGTGGTAGTGAGGCATACATGCAGTGTACACGTGTAGCAAACACAACTCAAAACTCCTAGCACTCTAGGTCCTAGAAATCTTCTCTTAGAAGATTGCACCGGGGGTGCAATACTTCTGGATAGGTTACTTGGCTGGGTTCCCAGTTTCTGCTCTTCCTAGCTTGATTCTTAAGTGCCAGCACTAGCTCTCTCGAGTCCATAGCTAGCTCTCTTCTATGCTGCCAAGAGGCCTGTTCCTCAAGACTGCTTTCATTCCTTGAGACTATGTTTCTGTATCCATGTCTGTCTGCTCCCTCAGAGGTACAATTTCTCTTTACAAAGGGAAAAAAGGGCTTCCAGTGTCCAAGAGCAGTGAGGTACCACACTGTCCCATGTATTCTTCACACATGTGCCTTACTGCCCTTGTACTTGAAGTCTGAGCCCACTCTTCCTATGTGTAAAGGAAGAATCTACACTTCTGCTCTGGAGAAATGCTTTGTGCCAACTGATCTTATTCTATCACCTTACAGGAAAACAGGGGAACGAGAACTGGACTTTTGATTTTATTGATAGGGAACATCCAGGTGAGGAAACTCCCTCTACCAGTGCTGTTTGGCATCAACTCTGTAACCTGTGGCCTTAGAGAGCCTTCTAGTGCACTAAGAACTTAAGTGATTTCAGCAGGATCACACAACCAGTATGTGTCAGAGATGGGTCTTGAATGCAAGTCTTCATGGCTCCAAGGTCAGCCTTCTATCCACTCCTGCCTCCTACCTTAGGTAAATAACTTTTCTAGAAGATAATTAAGTGAAGTCTGGCTGACTGATATTCACAGGAAACACATGGGCCTTCAGAGTGACAATATTAGAAACCTCGATCCCTCAGCATTAAGCCTAGAATGTTGAATGAAATAGTCACATGGACCCTGTGGGGCCCCCAGCCACAGAGTGTGAATGAAAAGTGGGAGAAAGGAACCTGGGAGGGTGTCGTACTTTCATTTTAATGTGAGAATAACTGATGCTCTAGGAATTCCCCTCAACAAAAGAATAAAATTACATTTGTACAGACATGACACAGGATTACCTGGGCAGCTCTCCTGTTTCCCAACCTGTACCTTGCTCCAATCTTCCATGTAACTTATAACAGAGTGAGAATCAAATAGCTTATTTCATGGACCAAAGCACTAGTCTAAGCAAAGCTTCCTTTTCTGGAGTTAGGATCGCAGTTTAGTACCTTATTTAAATTTCAAAAGCTTCTGAGAATCTAACTAAAAGTAAAGAAAGAGTAAATTAAAAAGACTGACAACAAAGCAAGTAATGAGGCAGAACAGGGCTGTCAACAGAGGGAGATGACCACAAAGCGGGTACAGTAACCCTCCATTCATTCAGAGGTCAGAATTCCAGCAACCTCCAATTGCTGGAAGATAGCCCTGAACCCAAACCAAGAGAAAAAGACCTCTGGGCTTCCGAAATAGTGTTTACAGTCTTAGCACTTATACCAACTCTTTTCCTCCTGAGGAGCTTAACAGCTTCCCTGACTCAGTTAACCTAACATTGCTTACAAGATTAATTATCTGGTTTTCCAAGGCCACAGAAAAATTAGAAACAAAAAACTGTAAGAGCAGAGAGAAGAAAATGAGAGGATGTTCCAGACAAACACAAAGACAAAAATACGATAGTGGCCAGCTGACTTCAGAAGAGACAAAAAAAAGCTATCTAGTATAATACAGCATATTCATAAAATTAAATTACATTCAGTATGCTATTTTAAGTAGAAAAAAAGCATATTGGAATTTTAGAAAACTCTTCATTTAAAGCTTCAGTTACCTGAATAATTAATATGAAACACTTCATTCCCTTAAGATGCTGCTAACAATAAGGTACTTCAATCATATGAATACTGTAGGAATTACTGAGCTTTATTCATTCAATTTATTTATTGAGTAATAACTACATGAGATCTAGTGAAAGAGCATGAAAACGAAGTAAAAAAATCCTGAGTTCCAATCACAATTCCTAACACTGACACTATCGGCATGATTAGGTTGTCAAATCAGTTAACCTCTGAGTCTCAGTTTCTTATATGCAAAATAGGGCTAATAATACCTAGAATACTTGCTTCACAGGGTTTCTGTAATGATCATTTAAGAATATATATGTATTACCCTTTGACCCAGCAATAGCACTTCTAGGGCTATATCCCAGAGAGATCATACAAATGGAAAAAGGACCCACATGTACAAAAATATTTATAGCAGCTCTTTTTGTGGTGGCAAAGAATTGGAAATTGAGAGGATGTCCATCAGTTGGAGAATGGCTGAACAAGTTGTGGTATATGAATGTAATGGAATACTATTGTGCTACAAGAAATGATGAGCAGGCTGACTTCAGAAAAACCTGGAAAGACTTGTATGGTCTGATGCTTAGTGAATTGAGCAGAACCAGGAGAACATTGTACACAATAACAGCCACATTGTGCGATGACTAATATTGATAAATGTAACCCTTATCAGCAATACAAGGATCTAAGACATCTCCAAAGGCCTCATGATGGAAAATGCTATCCACAAAGAAGAAAGAACTATGGAGTTTGAATGCAGATCGAAGCATACTATTTGCTATTTTTTTCTTCTGTTGGGTTTTGTTTCCTCTTTCTGGTGGTTCCTCCTATTGGTTCTAATTCTTCCTTACAACATCACTAATGTGAAAATATGTTTAATAGGAATGTATATGT